AGTAGGCTGGTGAAAACGAGAAACGGTGATAAACAGTTATTATTAATGAATACGGAATTATGATATGTTTTATGTTACTCATTATACATGAAATTGTGATCTGTATGATGTTATGTCTTTATAGGTTATTTTTACAGGTTCTCCAAGGGTAAGAAAAAGGGTAGGGATATGGTCCAAGATGGGTTTAAGAAATGCTTCGTGCAAGACGTTGACAAAATATTCCTCCTATTTCCTCATAAGCCGAGAATCTAAAACCATTAAAATCACCTCCTTCGAATTTAAGAACTTGAGAGGTAAACAAAGTAAAACAGCTTCCTTCGCACCTTCACCTCGTAAACTCAGTATTGATATTTGGCCAATAGATTCGACGAATCGGATTGAGATCAGTGTGAAGAAGAGTTATGCGGGGACTAATCAAGCACAGCTAAATAGTAGTCATGCCCACAAAGAAAGGAAGAAAGATCGTCAACGCTTCAAACAGCCGTAGGAACTAAGTAGGAAGTTGGGCCGGAACTAGAAGACTCTGTGAGACCCCATTTCCTGTCTATTTATTTTAAATAAATGTATTACTTTAAAATTTATGCTTTATTGGTTGTTTTTGATTTTCTACCAACCTTTACTTCTGTGACAGTGATATAGTGTGATGGTTTTACTGGGCTAGTGTAGCTCATTTGTTATTTAACTATTTCATATCAGGAGAACTTAGTTCTCGGGCCCGATCTACAAGAAGACGGCGAGTAGATGCTAGTTGTTTTATAGTTTCTTTTATTTTTCTCATTTCTTGTATTTATTCTAGAGAATTTATTTTGTGATATTGTTTAGTACTTTTAAGTTATTGTGTAAGAGATGTTAACTTTAATATTTTATTTCGCTTCCACATTCAGATTATTATATGTATTTACTTTTGAATTTTCGGAGCCATTACAAATAAAATAAAGTAATTAACATGCAACGTCATACGCATGAATATATGTATATATATATATATATAACAAAGCAAATAAAAACGATTTCACATAAAATTTATTTCTTACCTTCATTTATAACACAATAATTTTTCGAATCCTTAACTTTTTAATTTAAATGCGAGAAATAATATTTTTATCTATACGGGGAAGAGCATACTTTGTTATTTTTGTATATATATATATAATGTGTATAGTTATCAACTATCTACTTAACTAATTAATACCTAATTATTATTATGTTTATGATAATGACTTAACAAGTAAGATTTTAATTAACGTAAGTTTATACTGGTTAACATCGATCTGCACAAATATACCATAAATTATGATAATCATTAAATAGAACGATCGTCTTTTATTTAAAAAATTAATTATTTTATAAAATTGAAGTGAATTGATTAATACGTAACATTATACGAAGAATATATATATATAACAAAGCAAATAGAAGCAATTCCACATAAAATTTATTTCTTACCTTCATTTATAACACAAGAACAAAAACTGTCATTTATTCATTCATACAGCAAATTAAGCTCGTCGCTATAGAAAAGTTAAAAACATATATAATTTCTAGATAAAGAGATAAGAGTTACACTCGTTTTAAAACAGAGAAAGAGAAATTCGAAGAGAAAGGATTGTAGCGAATTCCAATTTCATCTCCAGCAGCAAGTAATCTCCTCTCCACAAAATTAACACGCCAAAGACCTTGAATACTGTAGGAATCACTCTCTTTGTAGTAACGAAAGTTGACCTGATGTTGTGTGTTAGTGTCAACATCCTCCATCATGATTTTGACATCTTCAATTCTCGATCTCTCCACCGTTGCCACCGACCAGTATGGTAGAATGTGTTCATCCACAATCGTCTTCTCCAAGATTATGTATTTTCGACCATTGCTGCAATCAGTTTCTGTAAGTAGTTTTCTAATTGTCCATTCACTTCCATTGACCTCCATGGCTCTCAAGATTTTCCACAAAATTGAAAGAATAAATGCTACAATCACAAAATTAAGGATACTAGTTATACATGGTACAATATATTCAAAAGGTGAAATATAATCAATAATACAATTAATATGATTAAGTATTGTTAATAGAAAGGGTACCAAATTCATATTAGTCAAAGTTAAGGAGGACTACAATTGGCTGAATTTTGGTTCCCCACAAACATTGGATAATGTGGTTATCCACAAATTGTGTTTTCCTACGTCATTACTCTTTACCCAAAAGAGCAATAAATGTTTTTTTTTTTTTAAATTATGGGTAGACATTATGATTTATGTAATATGTAAAATTCTTTTTTGCTTTTAATATAAATAGTAGTTATTAAAGTCGGGTCGGCTAATTACTATAATTTCCTGCAATAATTATGAGAATT